CTTTTCTAGGTGGTAGGATGAAGTACAGGAGGGAGTTGTTTGTTTTGACAGAGATAGTTTTTGTTGTTCTAAAACTGTTTTTCTGCTGATTTCTTTCCCCCAGTATCTCCCTCCTTTGTTCAAGTCCCAGGTACTTCAGGACAGACCCAAACTGCAGTTTCTCTTTCAATGTTTCCATTGTTCTGCTTCTACTGACAGCAAAATAACTCAGAATAATTCTGTGATTTGCCATGGAATTAATTAATGCCAATATGTGCAGTGTAACATAAGCAATGGAGAAAATACTGGATACTAAAAATTGGGCCAAGAGCTTCTTTATGACAAGAAAGCAAACACTTTAGGCTGGCTATTCTGGTCTGAGATGAAGAGCTACAGTTTGCTTTACCTTTGGAAAAGTGTCTAATAAAAACATCTGTGAGGAAATATTGTGTGACACTTGAAATACTTGCATAACAGAAGACTTGAAAGTATTCTTATTACCAGAGATTCCAAGTACCTTTCTCTTCCTATTTTCAGCTTTTTACCTTTGAAGATATCTAAAAGAATGGAAAAAACATTAGTAAAGTTCCTTTTCATCTCCTGTCCTTGCCAGTCATAATAATCTGCTACTTTAAAAGTTTGGTTTCGTGACTCATTAAAGAAACATAAATGCTTCTTTCTAGAGGTATAAAGAATATGTTAGTAAATGGATACAGAGAAACTTGCTGCCCAAAACCTTTTTACCCCTCTTTTTAAAATTAGTTTTGTTCAAGATCTTTTCATCTAGAACTTTCCAGGAGGTTTCTTTGCCTATGGCCAGCTGACAAAACTAAAAATAATCTGAAAATAGTTTATAGAGGAAAAGATGGCAAAGGGGACACAAAGGAACAGCTCTGTGGGTGCCCCCATTCCATACACCTTGACTGGTTGAGTGTGGCAGGACTTTCGCTACACTGGTTTGGCTGTCCAAAGCAGGCAGAAACTGTAATTTGCTTGACATGTACTTCAGTGAGGCTACAACACAGCCTAATAATGAATTGCATCTTCCCTTACTTACAGGAGAAAGAGATGTTTTTCTAAACCTAAATCTGCTATAACTGTAAGGCCCCTGATTATTGGGCTGAGGAAAGGCACGCAGTTTGTTGTGCCTCAGAGAAGATGCACCCACCTCTCTTGTGAAGGGCAAGTCCAAAAAGAATCCATGAGGGGCTATGCAAGCTTACAGCTCTCTGGAAAATATGGCACAGAAGAAAAAGCTTTACACTTAAAAGTCAGTGAAGCTATTTTGACTTTGTCTAATTGGAATTTTAATACACAAACATTTAGAACAATGACAGACTGGAAGGAAACAGTGATTGAGAAAAGCAAAAGGGAAGGGCATTGCTATATATTTACTGTACACTCTAAAATGAACTATCCATTTTCTATATCTAGGATTTCACAAGCTCATCATGGTATATGGAAAAGTAATAGGTGTGAGTCACAGCCAGGGAAATAGCAAAATAGAGCCTGCATGGATAGCTGTGGCATTGGAGTCACTGGGCTAGCAAGGATAGGTTGGATTCAATCTACACAGGGAGTCTCAGCCAATATAATTCAGTTCTAAATGCAGATGTATCATTGCCTAGGGAGCTGGATGGGGTTAAGATCTCAAGGAATCACATGTGTGGTTGGAGCTCCTATAAAAGGAGCTGGAGGAATAAACTCAAGACTGTCACATGAAGTTTTGCGCTGTGTGTGTTGTCCCTGTTTCCGACCACTGACCCCATGGAACACGTGAATATTAACCTTATAGATAGTAACCCATGGTTTTCTCTCTAACAGGACCACAAGATTTTCTCTCTAGATGTCTTTGTTGCAAATAGAGATGCTCTGGTTACTGTGCTTGTCCATCAAATCAAAAATAATTCGAGATGTGGTGAGTGAAAGAAAAGAGGCACATCAAATCTAACCTAGGATGTGAGAATAGTGAGAGAGAGTGAGTGAAGTTGTGGGAGTTGATTCTTGCCTTTTTCCTAACCATAAGTAGAGGGACTACAAAAATATTCTGTACTCTTACTTCAGCAGGTACTCTCTTTATAAACATCTTAATGATAAAATATTTATGTATCTTTTCAAAGTGTTGAGCATATTTCTGCCTGAAATTTATCTCTGCATTAAAGCCTCAGTACCTGAGCAATTAGATAAACATAAATCAAAATTGAATTTTGAACTGCCATGGAGTTTCAGCTTGTGTTTGTTGGCTCTGTTTCTCTTTAGCTCTTAAACAAGTGTTTTCAGCCTTTTGCAAGTACACAGATATCTCACAATAAGGAGTGGATAGAGTTGGGCTCTTTGTTCCCCCTTGGCAAAAAGGAAACAAAAGAAGGAGAGGTAAAAAAATAAATCTCCATTTTGAAAAGAACAAAGTACACATAATCATCAGTCAGTTTGTGATTTAAAAATCATCTGTTGAATAAAGAATTGATTTCAGTGGTATATTTGTTCTCTCTGCCTTGCTGGGCTCACTTAGAGAGGGGCTATGTTATCTGTATCATTAATATCTGCTATGCTCTTAATTGCTGCTCTTCTAGCAGATGTCTGGCTTGATTGCTTTTGCAATTCTTTGGTGCATACCTCCAGAAAAAGAGTGTTTTGTAAGCCTTTGTTGCATTGTTGAAGAGCAATTGAATTTTACAGTTCTCTGAAGTGAAAGGTGGGCTGGAGTACTGAGGTGTGTATGGCTGAATGCTGCTCTTAGCTTTCATCAACTTGTGTGCAAAGAGAATGAAAAGAGAAAGCCACAGAAATGCATTTGCTGTATTTGTGGACATTTTGTGTATTTGTGTGGTTTTTCTTCTCTCAGAGATGTGCCTCTTGCTCTTGAAGCAAGCTGGACTACTTTTATTACTGAGAAAGTAACCTTTGTATTATGGTCTAATGTACTGTGCACTTTACTAAGGAGTTCATTGCTAGCTGTCTTCTGGAGAGTGCATGCTTTACATGGAGATGAAGCTGGGAAAGCTATGTGGTAAATAAAGAAATATGCTGATCTCGGGATAAGTTTTGGTTTGATTCAGTTCCTCATGCATAGGAACCCCATAAAATGTCTCCAGTGTGAACCTGCCTCCAAAAGAGTGGGGAGAAGAACAAGGGTTTTATCCTTAGCCTACAGGGAATTGAGAAAGTAGGGTTTTATTCTGACTGAGAACTGTCTCCTGCATCTCTAGAGTGGATTCTATAGCCCTGTGCTGTCTCTGAGAAAGGCAGCTGTGGATTTTTCTTACCCTTGGGTTTTGAGGCAGGGCTCCTGTAGCCCCAGAGGGTGTGGGCAGCCCCAGCCCAGGTGGGAGGCAGGAGCCCTGTCCTTCCTTGCTCCTGCCAGCTCTCATGTGCTGAGGTTTGTAAGGACCAAGAACCCTGGATCTGCTGCTGCTGCTTCTTCTAGTTGGGGAGCTGCTTTTATTTTTCCCTCTGAACTGTTTCTGAAGCCATTTTGTTGGTACAAGTAATTATTTCAAAGACCCAAGAATAGGCCCAACATTGGCTGAGGTTGTGGCTATTAAGAGACTCCAGAAGAGTACATCTTTCTGTTTTCCAGGGCAAGGTCTTCTGGTCAGAAGTTGTCTGTGCTGGCAAGTGAAGTGCTGTGTGGGGCTGTTTCTGGTCTCCTCCAGCTGGTGTTGCTCCAGCAGTAACACCTGCAGAACAACAGGCAGCTGGCTTCTTTTACCACTCCAATTAGACCTTTCATGTATGGGCATTTGTAAGCTAATACTGAATTGAATTTCTGCCAGTCTGCTTGTTTAAGGGAAGGAAAACAAGGGTCTTTTTTTTGAAAAATCCAGGTCTTTCATAACTATAGCTGTTGGTTTGGCTGTTTCAGCCTTTATTTGGAGAAATTTCTACATTTTCTCTCAAACTTTCATACAAGAGAATTGTGGTTGTGATTTTCCTCCAGTATGAAAGAAAAGAAAGGGAGTAAGATGCACTCCTCAGAAATATTATCATTAAGTCACAAAAGAAAAATAGAAGGAAGTAACCCCATGAATGAACCCAGATTATCTTTTACCTACTGAGATACACATTTTTTTCCTTCTACTTCTCTGATACTGTCTTTTATGTGATAAGGTTAAAATACTTGCACTTTCTAGTAAAAGCACTTTATACCTGCTAGAATCACTACCATTAAAGTAATTTACATTGAGTTGCTAAACCAAAGCAGTTATGTCATCAGAAGTGCAGTAAGATTGCTGTAACTGCCTCTAAGCAAGAGTTGTTGACAATATAGGAATATTGCAAAAAAATATTCTATCTCTAATCAACACTTACATAGACAGGAATTTCCTAAGTTGGCCTGAACTGGAACTACCTTCCCTGTGTGCATGTGACTTTATATCCATTCATATAGAAAGGTATAAATTATTTTCTGTCAAAAATCAGACTACCAAGCTGCTGCTTTCAATAACATAACATAATTTACCTAAAAAAACCAACAATAACAACAAAACAAAGCAAACAACAAAAAAAACTAAAAAAAAAAAAAAAACCACCAAAAAAAAAATCCAAAAAAGCAACCAAACCAAAAAACAAAATCAGGTCAAAAAGACATTTTGCCATCAGTGGGCCTGCTTGGCATAATCTTACCCAGACATTAAACACTGGGCTGTACTAATCAGGATAAAGCAAGAATAATTTGCAGGAGTAAGTCAGCTGTCATTTGTCTTAGGAAGGCTATATTTGCATTTCAAAGTGTCTCTTAGCTTATAGAAGGAGCCCAAATAACCTTTTAATCGTGAATATCAGGTGTGATGTATCTCCTTCCACCTATCTTTTTGTGAACTCAGTGAATATTAAGAGTGAGACTTTGAGCTAATGCTAAACTCATTGAAGTGAAGGGAGTCCCACCAGCTTCTTGTGCTCTGCCTGTGTGGTGATGTGGACTTCCCCAAAGTGTAATAAGCCTGCCCCCTGTTCTTCAGAATTTAGAGCCTGTTCAACCACCCAGTGCTCATATTTGCTGCTATTTCTCCCTTCTGCAGGAAGAAGCCACCTATGCAAGCTCCAGTTCTTCCTCCGAAGGAACCGAGCAGTCCAAAGCTTCACTGGCACTGGGACCAGCATTCTTCTGAAATTACTGGAAACCTACCTAGTTCTGATTTACTCCAGCACTGGTAGTAGATCCAGCAGCCAGTCGAAAGCTATCTGTGAGCTTCAGGTCACAGCAGGTCTCTATTGACCAGCAAAAAACATTTTGAGTGTTTGGTCTCAGTTTCATTTGCTGGTTTGAAGTCTGTGCTGCTTTGTGTTTTCTCACAAGGTGTGACAGTCACTCACGAATGACTTTTATATCTTCCTGTGCCAGGAGCCATGCACCACCTTGTTTTGTGAGCTTAAAAGACTTTGCAGCAAGAGTCTTTACAATTCTTTGTGCTGTGGCTGTGAACATTGTGAATTTAGGAACATTTTGTTCAAAGGCCAGGGCATGTGCTAACCCTGCAGAGGCTGAGTTTAAAAGCACAGTGTTTGTTACCCCAGGCACTGAAAGGAATTGTGTGGCACTGTGTTCTCATGGGATTTTGTGTTTGTTCATTTTTATCAAAATTTTAAACTTTTTTACGTATAAATGGATATAGATTTTACGAAGACCTGCCAACATTTCTGATTGTCTAAGCCTTAGATTTTGAAAATTATTTTGCTTTGGTTTGCTTGTTTCTCAGTAGAAATCATGTAGCTCAGAGAACAAAAGGAATAGCACAACTTCTGAACAGAAAATTCATGAACAGAAATTCAGTCCAAGTTGTTTTACTCAATTGATGATGAAATTATCTATGAATGCATATTTTCACTATATGACCAGTTTTATATATGGCTCAGTAATATTAATCTAAAAAATCTGTTCTGTTCCCCCTTGTCAGCTGCTAAATAAATTACTAGGGAATAATTTTTTGTTATTCAGACAGATCTACTCTGCACAGGAGTGTCTGTGTACTACTGTCACCAGATAATCAATTTTGTTTCTTTGCATCCAGTGTAGGTATGTGCTTCTGAAGTTTGAAAGAATTTGATCCCATGTCTTTGTGAAATCTACATTTTGATGTTATGAAGGAGAAAAATATGTCTCTTTAGAAAATTCTGCTTCAAAACAATGTAGAAAGTTCAGCTATATCTTCACAACAGACACTTTCAATGTATCTTAAATACATTCAAATCAACATTTGATTTCTAAATGTCTAATGTAGAAACATATTGAGAGTTTATTGAAATACTTTCAAAAACATGTGGCTTGACAAACACATTACACTGCTGACAGTCTTTTTGAAAACTACATTTCAATGCTTTAATAAAATGGCTTTGAAGTATAACAAATTATTCTCCTGTCAGTGGTCAGAAATCTGAATAAACTGCAATGGATTGCATAGTTCAAGGGAATGAATACATAAGACAAGTTCTTAGCTTGCAACTTTAGGTATTTGATATTCAATAATAACTATTTTATAACTAGAAGTGCAAAAGCAGGAGTGGACCTGCACATAAATGTATACGTAACTAGATAGTCTGGATCACCTCAAAAAGAAAAGTCTGTATAGGCTGATACTTTGTATCTTCTATGAAATATTATATGAATGCTTTGTTCTCTGTCTTTCTGAAATCAGTTATAGTCCATAGCAAATAGCTATGGGCAGTGTTCGAAAAATCCAATTTATCAGAGAGTTTGTTAGTAATACTGACATAAAATTACTTGGGATGTTTTAGAGGGAGGATTTTTAGGATGTGTTTATGCAGCAGGCTGGCTGCATGTTATATGAAGGATACTGTGCATTCAATCACAAGGTGACAAGTTATCACTCTAGATTCAAGGGCAAAAGAACAGCAATATTTTTGCTTGTTAATTATTGTCATTAGCAGGTTAAACCAAGGGGTTATGCATTGGTCATAAAACTCCTGTAAAGTAAGACTCAAGTAGTTTGCTCATGTCACCAGAATTCCAAGATAAATGTGGTAAAAAGGATCAGCCATCATGTATTATATATCTACAGACAGTGCACATTTTTCTCTCACTGTACTTCGGAGTGAGACTTCTCTGGATGACAGTTATGGAAAGTCTGAAGTGTCTGCAATGTGCAAAAATAGAAAGTTCTCAATGCACTTAATAAAAGTTTAATTTGTGAGTTATATGAGCATAGAAATAACTACTGGTGTGTGAAACCCAAAGGTGCATAAGTTCAGTCAAAGTTTTATACATGAACTTTTTACAGATTTCATTCTTTCGTGTGGTATAGGTTTTATATCTCTTTTATTCCTCTTTCCTTACCGAGTTCTTCTTTTTTTTTTTTAATGCATAAATTATTCTGCTTGTTTACAGCAGACTTTAAACCACTCTCTTAAACCACACTCTGGTGTTTCAAACAGTTTATCTTTTAACCAGTATGCTCTGGTGGTGCGGGGGCGTAATGTGTTTTGTAAGTTTTTTTTTTAATTGTTTTCTTTTCTCTTTTTCTTGTTATACACTTTGGGAAGGGTGTCCTGTACAGATCTTACATCTTTCTCTAACTTGATTGCTTTGTTTCTGCATTAATTCTTTCCCAGACTTTCCTTTTGCTGTGCAGAATTTTATCACAGGGTCTTTGCAGGCCTGCCAGGATTCAGCAGGAACTTTTTGTGAGTTTTGGCTTCTCTTGCTCTCACAGCAGGGAAATCTTATCAATCACTGTTCAGCCAAAGTCTTGATGATTAGTGTTGGGGTCTTACAGATTTATAAAGCTTAGAGAAAAGATGTTGATATAAGTAATTTATGTGGTTTGTGTGGTTCCCTTATTTCTCTCAAAGGTTCCCATTTCAGTGAACATTGTATTTATAGACAGGAAGAACCAAATCTTTGTGACTAGCAGTGAACAAGTACTGAAGAGTAAAGTAAGGGATTATAACTATAGCAGTATTCAGAAGATAAGTAGGAAGCAGATCAGCTTTGGTAAAACCCCAGAATTTTGTCATGTATCTGTTATACAGGCATCATTAAAATTGGCATTTTTTTCATTTTTTTCTTTTTTTTCTTTTTTTTTTTTTTTTTTTTCTGGATACTGAAGTCCTTTTGCATAGCTTGCCCATTATTTGCCTTTAGAGGTGTTCTGCAAGGGAGGGATTGGGAATAGCTTGCTGAATAGTATCCGCTAAAAGTAACTCTTATTTCTAAGCTCCACAGGAAATATATCCTTGCATCTCCAAGCTGTGATTGAAGAGTCATAGAGCAGCTGTTTGCTAAAAGTGCATTGTATTTGCTCTGATAAGAGCAGCAAATCACCTTTTAAGAGAGGCAATTTCTCTTCCCATTGGACCTGATTTTGATGTATCCCCTGGTGTAAGTTGGGAGTAACACAAAGATGCTCTTCCTTTGCACTGAATATGAAAGCAGAAAACGTGAAGAAAGAACTGTATTTGCTGGATATAAGAAAGTAATTCTCTGACCTCTGGTACTACTTATTTCTTGTCAGATTTCATTATAATTCCTCAAGACAGTGTTGGGACAGTGAAGTTCTACTGTTCAAAGTCATCCCTTTGTTACATCATGACTGACTCAATCTATGTACACGTGTCCCCTCGCTTCATTTTCTCTGCTGCCTGCACCTTAAGGAAAGTTATATAGGCTCTTCAATGCTTTTAAAAACTGTAGGATTTGCTCCAGGTTCAGAGCCTAATTCCTCTGCAGTGCAAGTGTGGCCTGGCCTGACTCCCTGGGTGTACAAGGCAGTGTGCACATGGCAGGCTGTGCTGCTTTGATCAAGTTCAAAGAGAAGGCAGAAAGTGAAAACTCAGATTTTGTGTAGGGATTGAAAATATATGGGAAGTTCTGCTGATGTGTGGAAAGACAAGAAGTCATATCCACGGGATATGCTGTCTTGAGGGACACAGTGACTCAGATCAAGATAATGTGAGGAGGACGTGAATAAGAAATAAGGAGTGTTTATTAGCCCAAGGTGGCAGATCCTTCTGTTTCTTTCCATAGAACAGGTGCCAGCAGTAGGTGCCCTGAAGTGTGATGTTTACTAACTCAGCATTCAAGGACTGCTTTCTTCATGTGATTAGAAAATTATAATGCCTTTCATGGTCTGTTATGTTATACACATGGAATTAAAAATCTTTTATATTTACTGCTGAAAATGTCCTTTATGGCTGTAGTTTTTCATATGTAGTACAGGAAACAACATCTAAAGGTGCAGTTTGGAAGAGGCTCCATCTGTCCTTTGTTTCCTATGATTATTGTGCTCTTTCAAGTCTCACTTGCCTCACTTGAACTCTGCATTTCGTCTGGACTGGCAAAGAAGGCATTTGAAACTGAAAAAAAGAACAAATACACTGTTAATAAATGGGAGGAGAAAGAAGTCAGAAAATCCATTAATGTTCATGAGAAAATACAAGGCAAGGAAATTTATGGAATAAGAAAAACTAGGATAGACTCTTCATATACTGTGTCAAGGCAAAAATTCACTTTCGCCTTGTTTCAAGAGGTGGAGTCAGGGATGAATGGCACAAAATAGCTAAAGATATGTAAAAAAAATAATCTTTATTTAAAAAACTAATAACACTGGGAAACTGGATAGTTGGAGGGGTAGCTTTGAGGCATACTTGAATTTTGTAACATTTTTGGAACATTTTTTATTACTTGATTATTTTCCCCTGTCTTTGATTGACAGGAAAAAGCTGTGAAGCATAAGAATTATTTGGTAGAATGGCTTCTAAAGGTCTGATAAAAACAGCAACTCTGTAACTAAGTCTGATTGTTCAGACTGTCTAATTTTGATGTGATGAAAATTTGTTCCTTGGCAATTACCTTTTTCTGCTCTGACTTTACTTTGTTTCCTTGCTATCCTGGTTTATGGACTTGCTGACAGTGATGGCTGCAGATTTTTCACCATTCTGTGAGCAGTTTTTACCTTGTTACTGGCATGAAGAAAGGTTTTCGAGGGATAATATTAAGTCAAAGCAAGTTGTTCTAACTCTACTTCTTTTCTTTTATTTTCCTTTTTTTTCCTCCTTCTTTAACCTAGGACTATTGATGGTCTGCAACAACTCTAGGTTGTATTTATTCCATCTACATTTATGATTTTGGTTTTGATGTCTGAAGGGAACAATCACAATTAAATACATTCCAAGTAATTATTCTGACTATACTGCAAGATATTTTTCCCCAGAGCATTGTGGATCTATGATTTACACTCAGTCTTTCATCTAAAATCCCCTCTGTTCCAAGGACAGGTATGTTGAATATGAGCTGCTGAATGTCGGCTTCCTCTGTTAAAATGGGAGCTTTGTCTTTATACTGAAAAACTGCGCTTATATTTGTTTGAGAGGTTTTTGTTTTTCCCATTCTTTAAGGTCCAACTAGACACGTGAAATTTTGTGATCTTTGCTGCTTTGATCATTCACAAGGGAAGCCCTTGGGCAAGAAAGAAAATGATGAAACTAGATGTTTATGGCATATGGAAGCCTGGACTTGTGAGCAGTGTTTCTTTACTGATGGAGCCCATAGAAAACCTCAGAGAGGTTTTTCACCAGTGCAAGTTCATGTACCTGTGAATGCATTTGAGAACTACCAGGTCACATAAAAAGTAAAAAAGTACGTTGCGAAATATCACAAACTGTTTTAAAATTCCATGAAGGTTTTTTTTTTTTTTTTTTAAGGTATTGCTGGGAGTACAGGAAGATACTGTACAGGCAAAATGAGAACATATGAATACGTATTGATATAAATTTTTGCAGATTTATATACTCCTTAAGAATTGTATAATTATTATCAATGTCTCTTGACTAAACAAAATCCATAATTAATAAACTACAAACTACAATATTAAGATAAACACATCCTTTTTTCATATTTACAGCAAATTGGAATAAGCATTCATAATGTTCATGGTAATCATTGCCCAGCAGAAATTCAAAATGTTTCATAGAATACACAGCATGGACATTAAAATTAAGAGACTTGGCAAATCACCTGTTGTAATCAGTCCTAATGGTAGCTATTTTACAAAGGTAAACTGTTAAGAACCTGAAGAACTAAACTTTTCTCAAAAGCAGTCAAAACTTTTGAAATGTTACTGAATTTTATGTCCATGAGGTTTTTAAAAAGTGCAATGGAATTGGGGGTTGGCTGGCTGTTTGGAGCATCCATTGGGACTGGATGGTCTGAAGCCAACTGTGCTCCACACAGGGAAGGTAACAAGTTGTGACAATTTCACTCACAGGTAAAGAGCAATATTTGCTTGGATATTCTACTGGCAAGCATGTAATGTTTTGTTGTTTTCATTTTGTTTTCTTTTTTTTAATTGTTACTTTTCATTTCAAGTATATATTTTGTCCTCCTTATTCAGTGCAGGGTACTTTTTTGCCAACCAGAGATGAATGGTAAAAATGAAGTAGTTGTACTTTAATTCATAGGTCCTATTGACTCTCACACATTCCTTGTTTTTGAGGTATCTGAAGATGTATATAACCACAGAATTACTGGTTATGTACATTATATAAATATATTATATATATTACTGGAGTGGGGAGGAACCACAAGATCACCTATCCTGGAACTCCTGGTAAAGCAGATTCACTTAGAGCAGGTTGTACAGGATCACATCCAGGTGGGTTTTGGATATCTCCAGATAGAGGCAGGATGAGAGTCAGAATGAATATAAATGCTTGTCCTCAAACTGATAGTTCTAAAACACAATGCAAGCCTTCACAACAAAATGCTTCCTATGAATAATGGAGAAGTCTGGCTTTATGAAAAATGCCTAGATTCAAAAAGCAATTAAAAAAAAAAGACAGAATAACCTTTATTCACTGTACTCTGCTAGCTAAGAAAGAAAAAGACAGGAGCATAATATGAAGTTCTATTTCCTGACAGCCAAATCAAAAAATATCATCCCACTGGGCACACAAATACACAGTTTGGAGGAAGATACACAGGTGAGGACTGTACATTGCATCCTGTTCTTTCCCACCAGGGGAGCTGAGTGTATTTAGGGGCCTCATCTCTGTGAGTTACTAATGTGGGCAGGAATGGCAAAATGATGCAAAGCACAGTTTATGATCTCTGTCTCCATTTCAAATGGTGGTTAGCTTATGTGGCCATGTTGGCTTATTTAGACAGCATTTCTGTATCTGCTCTCTGCACAGCTGGGCCC